TGTGCGTGAAAATTGCCAACGTTAATCTTGCAGAGACGGGGAACTTGAGCAAAGAGTTCTTTGGCGTGAGTGAGCAGGAGTAAGTATTCCGTTGCTTTTATGGACTCATTATCTATGGCCGGGCTTCTCCCTTGACGGGGCGTCCCCCCGATTGCCTGCGAGCTTCTCCTCCTGTCTGTACGGTCATTTCTGTACAGCGCGACAGAGAGTCGAGTGGTTATGACGCAATCGTTAGCCTATTTTTACTAAAACTGTTTCTACGGGGCCATAATGTAACATAGAAGGTAATGGAGCACTTTATACATTGTCGTGTTTCTTTAGAAATAAATAATGGACAAATGGAGTCTTTAAACGCCTCAGATGTAAAGTTATTCACTGTCAAAGTGACGCCAAAATGAATGGGAGTCAATGGAAATGCTAACGCAAGTGAAGTTCTGCTACAACATGGCGGCACCCGGCCGGCTTCAACTTCCGGTCGATGGATTACCCCCTTGCGTAAACACGACTTCCCACCTCGTACGTACGAACTTCCCCAGGAGGACTTGAACGCACCAATAGACGCCCTATTGGCCGCTGCAGCGTACGTCAACGGCGCCGCCATATTGGGGATGGCAACTTTCCCATACCTCTTATACCGGCAATTGAGAAAAATGCCTGTTTTGTGCGCTGCTTGGGGCTGTACAAATCGCCACACAATTGAAAACAGCTTTCGAGGAATTACCTTTCACAAGCAAGACTGAGCGTTTGTTTTTGGTTGTATTTGGTCATGATTTAATTAGTAACGTTCAGAGGATACATTTAAAAATACTACTGTTATTTTGTCACGAAATGTAGTTTTAATAGTTTTTCAGTCTACAATCTAGTTGTTTAAAGCTCAAATATGTGGTTTGTTTAAAGATAGCGCCTATTTAAAAATTTGATCTGACGCTTTCGGAGTTGTAAGATGCTATCACCGGGGCTCAGCGCTCGTCTACCCCGCCTGGAACAGCCGTACCTCGGTCAGTGCTTCTGAAGTTTTGCCGCTGGCTCGGATGTCTGTAGTCTAGTGGTTAAACATGAGATATAATTCGTCTTGTGTATATCTAACGGGCGATCTTTGGTCTCATTAAGCTATAAATGGTTCCCTGGTAAATCGTTTTGGCTGAGGGCAAAGTGAAGTTTCATAACTTTATATTTAGGCTATTTTAACGTTGTCCTGCAGCTGTATGTTTGACTTAAGCTACTTCTGTTATAATGGCTATTACTGATCAATAAAACTGAAATTTAACAAAAAAAAGTTAAATATTAACGTCACTATTTAACTTATTTTTTTATTGTGTATATTCTGTAATTGATATTTCTTATTGCTATAGTATTATTAATAAACTATATGCTATTATCAATATTTTTATGATTGTATTATTGTACTTATGATATTATATAATTATACTATTTATTACTATTTTATTTGCTGTATACTATTTGTTTATTTTATTGACTATTTACTATTACTTCTCACTTTATGTTATATTTACTATTTGCATTGCACTATAGTTGTACCATAACATATGTATTATCATAAAGGATCCATCAGTTATCTTTGTTATTGCTAAAATCTGGTCAATCACAGAAAATCACACTTTTTCCACAATAAGAAAACTTATATCTCAGTATGGGGGTCTTCACCATTCTTATCCAAGAATAAAAAGCCAAATACGTCACAAGCCTGAGCTTTGACCATTCTTTATTAAAAAAATTTTTTTTTACAAGTCTAACTATCGAGATTTTAAATAACTAGAGATGGAACTTTTTGTACACCACATACAAACCACTGAAATCGGTTGATAAATGTAAAAACAGTTTGTTTTTATCCAGAAAAAAACGCAGCTCACCCATTTACTTACATTTGATTACAGTGCAGTCTTGCCCTCCGCAAAATGGCGGACCCGTTGACGTATCGCAGCAACGTTCCAAAGCGGCCAATAGGGCGTATATGTATTTATTATGTCTATGTTCCATATGTTCTCGATTCTGATTAGCTGAGAGCATTTACCAGTATCACCACGGGAACCGTTTCATGTTTGTATTACATATCTTGCAGCAAGTGTCATGATTGCCATAATTTTTTACAAATACTACTGTTGTTGTGTTACAGAATATGGTTTTAAGAGTTTTTTAGGCTAGAATGTAGTTATTTAGACCTCAAACAAGAGACTTATATATAAACATGGCACCTATTTGAAAATTTGTTTAGACGTTTTCGGAGATATGAGCTCCAGACAGTCAGCAGCCATTCAGCGCTCATGTCCCCGCCGAGAACCGCTTTATCTCAGCCAATCCTTCTGGAATTTACAGCTGGCTCTTACTGCATGTAGATAGTGTTTAAACATGAGGTATAGTTCATTTTGGCTATGCCAAATGGGCAATCTTTTTAAACTATTAACTTGTTCCAGAGCAAATCAATTTGGATGGGGGCAAAGTAAGTTTCATAACTTTAGATTTTTATTTAACTGAAATCCTGTACTATAATAAGAGTGCTGCTTTTGTCATTTTGACTGAACTGTTTGATTGCATTTATTTGCTATTGTGCAAAAATAAAATATTATTTTATATAAATAACATGCCGTATATTGAGAAAGGGTCCCTTTGTGATTGTGATTTTGACATCAATTAAAGTTACATTATTAGACCATTAGATGGCAGCAAAGACTGTCTTTATGAGTGAGTCAGTAACAAAGACTTTTATATTGAAAGGGACTGAAGCAAGGTTGTAAACAAATGCATTGTATACCGTAGTTGTCATGGAAAATACCCTTAACTGTTAAAAAGGACAAAGACAAAGATATTACTTTCCTCAGCGGGCATTCAAACTGATTTTGTGATTATGAATATAAGATTGACCTGAAGAATATAGAGGCAGGTAATGCTCAGTCGATCTCTCTCTCATAATACTCTATTCTACATAATACAATAGGTTTGTAACCAAGCTTTGTAACACATTGTAAATAATGCATAATCTTATTTACAGAATCCAATCCTTTGTTTTGCCACATCTCCCTAATGAAACCCTTATGATTTTCGGTGTCTTTCACTGAACCAGCTCATTGTGTTTTGGTTCTTTCACTGCCTGCTTTTTGATTCTGGATGGTGTTTTTGATTTAATGTTAGCTAGTTCATGACAGACCATGGTTCTTGATTGTATTGTGCAGGGGATGTGCCATTGAAACAATCCTGCTGACCGTTAAGAGATGAACCACTCTTACTCACTGTGACATCCGTGTTTACTGTTTTGGAGGGAGGAAACCATGTTTGGAGGAGATCTTCTTACAACGCTATCAAGTAAGGCCATGGGATCTTTATCTATCAGGCGGAAGTGTAATAAAGAGACAGGAAAAAATAAAGTGAGTGAGAGAGAGATTAAGTGTGGTTAGATTGGACCGTGGCTTTATCTTCTAATGGGTCATTTAAAAATAAATATTGTGAAAAGAATGGCGAGCTTCACATAACCACAGGCATAACGAGATGTGTTATGCTTTAAAATGAGATTAGGTTTCTAGTTTAAAGTATTATATACGCCTATAGATTGATGTAAGAATCATGTTAAAGTACTTTGCTAATTGTGTTAGGACAGATAACACAATAATAGGACAATCATGACTTCTGATTCAGTTTACACTAAATGGACATGTAGTACTTTGGATTTTATTTTAAGATGAGGGTCAGAGAGCAGAATTAACTTGTGAGCTGTACAGATTGACCTTCGGAACATGTGTCAGCTAAGTAGTAAAAACGAGAAGAGACATGATGAGAAATTTTATGGTGAATTGCGGAGTGTGTAACTTTTTAGAAATCAAACTTATCTTTGCCTGCAGGAAGAGGAATCGTATATTTAAAATGAAATTAAATTGGATTTTCTGAAGCAAAAGGTGACTTTTCTGAGTTATCGCACCAGAAACATTGAAAACTTTTTAAAAAGAAATCCCACTTCGTTTTAACAATCTCTCTTTCATATGAATGGTTGGTTAAATCATCATTTGCCTCTTTTAAGTTCTCCTCAGCTCAATGGATGAGATAAAACTGCTGCCACTGTGTGATATAAAATATATTACAAAATATTAAGATCTGACATTTAATTTCCACTCAAGGGAGCATGTCTCAACAAGACCTACAAATACCGTGTGTGTGTGTTGTGTTGTGTGTGTGTGTGTGTGTGGTGGAGATTGGGGATAGTTGTCACATGGGCCATATATCTTAGTAAGGTTTTGATCCAAAAGTCCAATTTCCAATTACACAAATGTTTTCTCTAGCAGTCATTTTTTTTCTTCCATTCAAACATCTAGTTCAAAACTATAATACCTGTGATTGTAACTGAAAACTTGAACTGTGCTCTCAGGACAGTTCAGTTTTAGGTTGGGGCAAGTTGTCACATGTTTTATTTTTTTTGGCATAATAATAATACCATATGTTTGTATGATAGATCTTTTACAATTTCGTGTATTGATATAATGCCTAATGGCAGGATTCATTGACCATTGGCAACTTGCCCCTAATGTGACAACATTCAGCAATGGTTAGCATAGCCTTCTTAGTAATTGTGTTTCTGCATTTATAATATAAGGACTTCTTAAAAAGACGACAACAACCAAGCTGACTTCATATCAAACATATCATTATTTTTTCATTGAAACCTGAAAGGCAATCATCTTTGCTGGACTGATAATACACAGAATGCAATATTATCCGCCTAGTGGTTTGTATCAGTAGTAAAACTGTGAGCACAGTCAAGTATTTGATCCCGGTGAAAGGTGCGCTTCTAGTAGATCCTATCATCCCACGGTAGCTGTCCATTCAGGACCGTGTGTGTGTGTAGCCTATGTGTAATAAAAAATCCACATGAAAACGTGCCTAAATCATCATTATTCCACCCATCTCAGGATCATTTCATTACTCAATACGTTAAAACGAGAAAGAAGACAATCCGTGCCATTGCACGCACTCGCATTACATTTCCCCGTTCATTTAACCACAAGGAGTGTGGAGTCAAGAACCAGTTTGAGCGGAGAATAATTCGAGGCGCGCGCTATTGGCTCCCCGTCCTCATCTGTCAATCTGCGGAGGCGGGACTCTGTGCTCGCGCTCACAGGAGGCGAGAGATGCGCGAGCTGTACTTTTCTACTGTGTTGGAGCGCTTCGCACTTCTCGAGCTCAGTCCGAGCGTCAAGTGAACGGCGTGCGGAAAGCGCAGTTGGACTTCAACCGAGGAGAAGTTATCGAAGGAGCCTGTAGTATTGATTGCAGCAGCCTGCACCTGGATAAGCACCATCATCAGCGCGCGGAGAAGCGAAAGAGCGAAGAAAGTGTGTTGACGGCAACCGGGCAGCTGTTATAGAAGGAAGGCAATATGATGGTGAAGCAGCATATGCTGTTTTCCCTGTACAGCATCTGCGGGATCATCCTTAAAGGTAAGAGCGCTTCAAACTTTAAGCAGCCTATGCAATGCAGTGCAGTGCAGTGCATTGCAATTTTGGGGTGGGTGGGGGATCATCATCATTATTAGCCTATACGAACCATGTAGGAAGGGCATTATGCTCTGGAATGATGATGATGATTTGTATTTCCATAATATTTCCAAAGGGCCCCGAGTGAGTATGGGAACAGTTTCCCGTTAGTCATCATTGTTCTGAAGGAACTGAACGGTGCACGTTTGGCCAACACTGATACAGAATCTTATCACGGATAAGCCTGCACACACTGCTGAGCTAGAGCCCCGCTTTTATGGATTACCAGTCAAAGTGTGTTATAGACAAACTCACCACCATAGAGGGGATACGATTTCATTGATACAGCCTTTGCATCACCTGATCGGAAACTTTAAATAAACGCATGGCTTTTATTGTATTTTAAAACCATATGTGTGCGCTTATATGCGTATTTAGGCACATTTGTAGGCTATTGCTTGGAAATGTGATGTGTCTCTTGGTGGCATGTTACAGCATTAAATCATCTGGTGCATTTTTATATTTTGTATTACAGGCTATAGTTTGTGGTGCATTTTGAGGTAGCCTATACTGTTTTATTCTTGCAGGGATGTGTTATGAGGTAATGAAGCTTTCTCTTTTACCCCTGAAACGTGGTCGTTTATTATAATGTTTTGTTCTGGTTAGAAAAGCCCTAGATTTCGCACGGAGCGTGAAGCTAATGGCTTAAGTGATTTTTTAGCACCCACAATCAGGTTTAGGTGTGTTTTTTGTGACAAATGGATGAATGGTATTTGCGGCAATCCGCATCTTGGGGTCGTAGTAGCATCAGCTTTTTTTCCTCTCAGAGAAAGACTTGCGGAGCAAGTAGGCTACACCTGTCAGTTTACATCTGTTAGTGTAATGCATTATTCACCCATATGATATTTTCAAACTGTAAAATGGACATTACGCCGGAAAGACTGTCAGCATTTCTGTGTTGTTTACCTCAAGTCTTGTAGTTTCGGCTGGTACTCATCAGTCACGCGCGACACTGTAAACAGGATCAGCAGGGCAAGGTCGAGAGACATATTCGCGCGGGGTGACCGTGTGACAGGAATACTTGATGAATACGTCAACTGAACGTGCCTATTGCTCTTAGGCGCACTGGAAGGCAATATATGCTTTAATTGAGGGTTTAGAGGTTAGTTTATGACTCAGCAGGATGGGTTCAGTGTGTGACTGCTCATATGTGAGTATTTGTTTTGTGTCACTTGAGAGTAAGGTTACGCCGTCCCGCCAATATCTAGTGAGCAGCAGCCACCGCCCGGTTTCTATGAACATCATTTAATCCATGATTTTTTTAGACTAACCTCAGATAGTGTCTTAAAGTTGCTGAAGGTAACAACCATTTGTGTTCACGTCAACATTTGCTCATTGTGACTCTAACATGCATCCCTTTTTACAAAGTGGTGAGCTATGGTTTCGACGCAATAGCCTACTTCGCTCATAAATTTAAATAAGGCTGTTGGCAAATGGTGAATTCAGACACTTTTTTCAATTAATCTCAATGGCAAAATTGTCCCAATCACCCTGAATTCACCCCCAACTGATAGCTTTTGTAATATTTGCAGTATTAGAATTTACAAAAATCTTATATTGTTGGTTTAGTAAATAGTATTTTTGTTTGTAGAACAATAGCGCTGTTGACTATGCAAAATGTAATAAAATAAAATAAATAAATTCAAGCAAGTGCTGTAAAAAACAAAGACTCCTACTTGACCACTACAGATGTTTCCTCTGTGTTAGATCCATTACAAGCTCGTAATGTCAAAACTTGTCAGCAAAAATGTGATGTCTGTGTATTTCAGATACTCCAAGCCAATCTGGCATGGTCTGGATATCAGTGAAACATGACTCTATCAGCCAGAGGTGTTTACATCTCAAACAGTCTGACTTGCAGATCTGGCAGTTTATGAATGCATAGGATGAATGCAAGAGAGACAGAGAAGAAAGACAGTATTTGCATTCGCCCTTCTGTATACAACATGTGTGTGGCTTCCCTCCTCTGCCCCGTCTTTTGACAAAATACCCTATGCTGTGTGTTGATAATCAGTCTGAGAGGTGGGCCATTAATAATCAGAGATAATTAAGCACATTCCTCAAGGCTTCACTTCTAATGAGTCGGCAGCAAGCGTGAGACTGAAGCAATGTATTGATTTCCCCCAGCCTTCTCCCTCTCTGCCCGTAAATCACAGAGCCTGTGTCTCTCACCCAGTCAACAGCCCTACTGGCTGCAAGTGCCTCTTTCGGTTCTTTAACACACCTCTGAGAGTCTGGCTGCATCTGCTTACCATGTGCGAGCGTGTTAATAGGCTTAATAAAGTGCGGTAACCATGCTGATTTTTAAACGATGGAGGTCAGAGGGTTCTGGTAGCCCTGTCTGTTCAGCAATTGGTGATCAATAGGTCTGATCATTTTGATTTCAGTGGTATACATTGATTGATTGTCTCACAGTCACAACATATCATTTTCTGATTTACCCACAAACCAGTTTGACTTGTTGAATTTGTTTGAAAATTGAAGCGTTAATCATGTATGTGAAATGTTGATTTAGATAAATGGATGGTTGATGCAGTGTTTCCTGTAGGATGACATACTATACTGGGTTCCCACGCTAATTGACAGCCTGGAAATATCAGATAATTGTGATTTCCAGGCTTGGAAAAGTCATTAAATCTTAAATGATATAAATTTCTATATTTCATTGTATTGAAAGTACTCTTTTTGAGTGTAATCTCTCTATTTTTTGAAGATAAAAAAATCAGTATTCATGAATGATTGAAAGTCCTAAAATAAGAAACTCCTAAAAGACCATGTAAGTTTCTAGTAATTTATAGTTATGGTATGCTTAAAACAATTTCATTGGCTATGAATCTCTATGAAATTGAAAATACCTTTTATGCAATTTCTTTTTTAAAAACTGGAAATCATGGAAGTTTATTGGTCAAAGATGTGAGAACCCTGCTTAAAATTAATATAAATGTATTTCAACCCACTTTTCCACTATACTTCTATCCCCATTATGTCATATTGAGAAACTAAATGTCGCACCTTTATCGCACTGCAGGGCTATTTGAACTGCAAAAAGTGGCTGATTAAAAATGGTAAAAACAAACACAACTTTTAGCTCTTACACAAAATGTTATACATGAAACACAAACAAAGTATTATTTGTCAACTACCCATTTCTTGACTGCATTTTCCACTGCTCTCAGTGGCCATCTGCAGCGGGCATGCAATCCCAGCTGCCTTTTATGTGATGGTCATCGATTACTCTTAAAGCCATGCCAGTCTTCCTCGCGGAGGTTAAATGTTTGAAGCACAAGTGCGGGCACATCCCTGGCACATCCGTTCATAGGGATCTTTGCATGCTGCCAGCAGCTGGGGGTTTGGGGGAGCATGGCAGTTATGCAAAGCATGTGGCAAACAGTGCAGCTCCTCCCTGTGTGTGGAGTACTATAGTCCCTGTGAAGTGCTGTTGTGTGGACGTCTGCTGTGAGTAATAGCAAAGCTTGGCTCCCTCCTCAGAGACACCAGAACTGAGTGGGAGGACTATGTGGTCCTGCTTCATAGAGGATGTACGCCTTTATACTTGTTTCTCTTTTGCGGGTACAATCCCTCTTCATGGACTGCTTGTGTACACAATATCTTTCATCCTCTTTCCGTCTTCCTCGGCTTCGACAATCCTGTGCTCTGAAATCCTGCTTGAAACTTCTCATGCAAAGCATACACAAATTTCGTATGCAAAACAAAAAAGATCAATTTTAAGGGCGAAAAACATTATTTATGAGACAAAATGCTTCTTTCATACCTCATTGAGTGGGCTACTGTGCATTGAGGCAAGTCTCTGGCCCCCTGCCTCTCTCAGGCAGCTTATCCCAACAGAGTGACTCCAAGCTGGGCATTGGCCTTCCCGGACCTGGCACTTTTATGGAAGTAGCGTGGGAAAGCACTCCTTTAAGAGAGGGCGGGCGCGTATGTGCGTGTATGCAGTCGTATTTGTGTTGAAAGTGGAGGTTAATGGCCTTTTTTTCATTCCCGGTGTGTTGTCTTTGTCAGTCGTGGAGCGTGAAAAGCATCTGTGCAGGTGAGCGGCAGCACAGGCAAATGTGCTCAGACAGGTGAGAAATGGAGTCGGGCATAAGCTGCCATTTCTGCTGACTAGAATAAGTATTTGTTTGGCATTAATTTAGCAGGGGATCAACACAGATTGCTCAAGCCTCTTTCTTTGGGCTGCAATACGGAGCTCTTCCTATGGCCCATTCTGTCATGTGCGTGTGGTATCATTGCAGTTCAAGTCTCTTTCTCTCGTTTCTTTAGAGTGCAAAGAGGCTGAGCGTGTCCCTCTTTCTCACTGTGTTGCGTATGTGGGTGTTTGTTTGGCTGGCTGATTGAGCCAGGATGGAGAACAGGATTAGAGGTGAATATCCTTTGTCCTCTTGTTGGGTTGCTGGAAGCCTCCTAAACAGAGCACCCAAGATATATGCGCTCTCTCTCTCTCACACTTTCTCCATCTTTCCGTTTCATGTCTCTGTCTTTCTCCTCCTCCATCCTGCTGTCTCATCTCCCTCTTTCTCTCTCTCTCTATCTTGCTCTCAGTCTGCATACAAGCATCTAGGCCTTGGAGCGTTTCCCCCAGACTCAGAATGGAGCTAAGCCGCTGAAGCCCTTTTGTAATCGTGAGGGATTTCCCGTGATCAAAGGCCCTCTTTTGTTCTTCCAGGTGTTTGAAAAAGTTAAAACAAAAAGTGGGTGGAACTGTCAACTGTTCTGTGGTACAGCTAGGCTTGGCATAACACTTCCCTTTCTCCCAAAAGGTGCTGGAAAGAAGATGGCCTTTTGCAGTGATTTTTGAATGGGTTTCAAAACATAAACTCATGCTGAATCATTGCAACAGTCTCGGAGGAGATATCTTCTAAAAAATAAAGCATAACTTTATTCAT